TTGAAGATGGCCGAAGAGGGCTCCAAGAGGGCCTTCACGAGGCAAAAATCAACCCGTTCCCTTCGTAAAACGTACATTTTCAGCATGCTCGCTTGCTTCGTCTCCACAGTGCCCCAGACGCCCCCGCGGAGCCCCAACACAGCCCAATAGAGAGACCCAAGAGGGCCCAAGACGGCCCAAAAGGGTCGTTCTGTGGGGCTCACGGAACCTCCCAAGACGGCCCAAGAGGCCCCAAAGCCGGCCCAGGAGGCCCCCAAGACGGGCCTCAGGGAGGCCGAGGCCCAAGAGGCCCGTTCGACGGCCTGTTCCCGGAAGCCTCTCCGGGCACATGATTTCGCGCTGGGTTTCCAGGGCCCCCTATCCGCCCCAGGACCAGCCTCAGCTGCCTCAGCGAGGCCCGAGATGGCTTGAAGATGGCCGAGAGGGGGCCCCAAGAGGGCCTTCAAGAGGCAAAAATCAGCCCGTTCCCGTAGTAAAACGTACATATTCAGCATGCTCCCTTGCTTCGTCTTCGCAGTGCCCCGACGCGTTTGAGGAGCCCCAAGACAGCTCAAGAGAGACCCAAGAGGGCCCAAGACGGCCCAAAAGGGTCGTTCTGTGGGGCTCACGGAACCTCCCAAGACGGCCCAAGAGGCCCCAAAGCCGGCCCAGGAGGCCCCCAAGACGGCCCCAGGAGGCCCAAGAGGGCCTCGTTCGACATCATGTTCCCGGAAGCCTCTCCGGGAACATGATTCCCGGGTTCCCAGGACGCCCAAAGACAGCCCCCAGAGGCCCCGGACACGCCGAAGATGGCCTCAGGACGGCCGACGACGCCGCCAAAACGCCCCAAGAGCGCCTCTAGAGGCCCCTCCAAAGGGCCCCAGAAGCCGAAAATCATGAATTTCCAATGGTTTTTGAAGCATTCTTGCGCTCTCCCATGTTCCGCCTCCCCACGGTCCCGGACCGCGTCAGAGGCCCTTCAGATCGCTCCAAGACGGCCGAAGAGGCTCCTAAGAAAGCCCAGAGACGGCCCAGGAGGCTCCCCAGATAAGTCAAGAGGGCCTCGAGAGCGCCCCAAGAGAGCCCCAAGAGCGACCCAAGAGGGCCCGAAGAGCGCGACATTTCAAGGTCTCCGGCCTGAGAGGCTCCTAGGACGCCCCCAGAGGCCATCAAGAGGCTCCCAAGAAGCCCCGTGAGGCTCCCAAGAGGCCCCCCGGAAGCCCCAATAGGCCCCCAAGGGGCCCCCAGGGAAGCCCCCTGCGGGCCCCCAAGACACTTCGGTAAATCGTATTTCCCAGATAGCTTTCCGGGAACATGATTCCTTGGGCTTCCGCCCACCGCCCCAACCATGTTTCCAATAGGCTTGCCGACAAGGCCAAAAGGCGCCCCTCGGTAAGCCCCCAGAGGCCCCCCTCTTAGAGAGCCGAACAAATCATGCTCCCGGAAAGCTTCCCGGGAACATGATTCTCTATCTCGGAGTAGGCCCAGGGGGGGGGGCGGGCCGCTGCCTGTTCCCCCCATCGGTGCCCACCAGGGGTTGCCTGGGGGGGGGGTCCAGAGCTCCCGAGGCGGCCCGAGCCCGCCCCGAAGCAGGCCACGACAGGCTAAGGGGGTCCCGAGAGGGCCCAAGACGGTCCCACGAGGCCCCGAAGACGCCCAAGACAGCCGACGAGGACTCCAACACGCTCCAGGACGGACTCAATAGGCTCCCCAAGAGGGCCCTGGAAGGCAAGATTCGCTCGTTTTCCGAGTGTTTTGGATTTTGGCGTTCTCGCTTTTCCCGCTTCCCATTGCTTTTTTACGGCCTCGGAGGCCGTTCAGATCGCTCCAGGAAGGCCCACGAGGACCCGACGAGGGCCCCAAGACGGCCCAGGATGTTCCCCAGACAACACAAGTGTGCCCCAAGAGCGCGCCAAGAGAAGGCCCAGAGGGGTCCCGAGGCGGCCCAGGCCCGCCCCGAAGCAGGCCACGACATGCTAATGGAGGTCCCGAGAGGGCCCTAGACGGTCCCAAGAGGCCCCGAAGACGCCCAAGATGCTCTCAAGACGGTCGATGAGGACTTCAACACGCTGGACTCAAGAGGCTCCCCAAGAGGGCCCTGGGAGGCAAGATTCACTAATTTTCTTATGGTTTTTGAAGGATTTAGGCGTTCTCGCTTCCCCCGCTTCCCAGCGCTCCCTCACGGCCTCGCTCGGAGGCCCTTCAGATCGCTCCAAGACGGGCCACGAGGCCCGGAAGAGGGCCCCAAGACGGCCCAGGAGCCTCCCCAGACAACCCACGTGTGCCCAGAGCTCCCCAAGAGAGGGCCCAGAGGGAGACCGCCAACCGATATTTCGAGGTCTCTGGCCCTAGAGGCCGCCTGTAGGCCCTCAGAGGCCACCAGGAGGCTCCCACGAAGCCCCGTGAGGCGCCCAAGAGGCCCCCACGAAGCCCCAAGAGACCCCCAAGGGGCTCCTAGGGAACGCCCAAGAGGCCCCCCAACACACCCCAAGAAATCATGTCCCCAGAAAACCTTCCGGGGACATGGTTCATCATGGGCCCGAGAGTCCCCAGAGGCCCCCAAGGGGCCCCCAGGGAACGCCCAAGAGATCCCCCAACACACCCCAACAAACCATGTCCCCAGAAAGCCTTCCGGGGACATGGTTCATGGGCCCGCGAGTCTCCGGAGGCTTCGAAGTACCATCATGCTACAGGAGAGCTGAGCTGCCTGGGAAGTTGATTGGGAACATGACTGATCGCTTTCTCGTGGCCCCCCCAGATCGTTTCGCACAAAGTTGCCCCAAGTGCCCTCTTGAACCGACGATTGCGACGACGATGACGACGACGACGACGAGGGCACGCCCCAACAGGCTCCCCAAGACGCCCCCAAACCCATGCTCCCAGAAGGCCTTCTGGGAACCCGATTCATACGGCCTCCGCCCCCCTACACAACCATTTTCCTCGAAGGCCTTTCGGAATGCAGATTGGCATGCGTGAGCTGTGGTCCACTACTTCAGTGGAGCAATGAATACGTCAAGGTCTGGGGCCTGCTAGAACCTGAGCGCGCGCGAAGCGCGTGCGATGGTTCTAGTACATACATATATATATATATATATATATATATATATATATAGGTACGTATGTATGTATGTATGCATGCATGTATGTATGCATGCATGTATGTATGTATGCATGTATGTTTGCATGCATGTATGCATGCATGCACGTATGTGTGTGTATGTGTTGTGTATGTGTATGTTTGCATGCATGCATGTATGCATGTACGTATGCATGTGTGTATTTATGTGTGCATGCATGCATGTATGTATGTGTGTATGTTTGAATGTGTACGTGTGCGTGTATGTATGTATGCATGTATGCATGTTTGTTTGTTTGTTGGTTTGTATGTACATATGTGTATGTATGCATGTATGCATGCATGCATGTATGTATGTATGTATGTATGCATGTATGCAGTTATGTATGCATATATGCATGGCTGTATGTATATATGTATGAATGAATGGATGAATGAATGAATGAATGTGTATGTATGAATGTGTGTATGTATGCATGGCTGCATGTATGTATGCATGTATGTATGTATGCATGCATGTATGTATGTATGTACGTTTGTGTGTATGGATGTATGTGCCGTGCTTGCTAGTGCCTTCCTGTTCATGCTTTTTGGGCAGCCGAGCACGTGCCATGTGTTTCACGATCATGCCAGGTCAAGCGCGGCTCTGAAGTTGGAAAGGGGGACGTTGGTGAGGACCTGATCGGTAGGAGGGGTGTGGACGGGGTGTCGGGGGGCTGCCCTTTTCTCTGTGAGATGTCTGCGAGCGGCAAGACACTGAGGTTGCGCTGGAAGCTACTGCGAGTGACCCTGCAGCAGCGAGCTGCAGTGCTCCGAGCACGGCCGCGCTGGCTACACTGTGCGCCACGCTAACTGCAGCTGGCGTCCGCTGGAGAGCGCTGCCGGCCGCGGAGGCAAATGCTATGGTCCTGGTGCACGAGGACGAGTCTAGGGTGCCCAATGTGTCTTCAGTGAGCTGCACCCCCGCCCCCCCTCCTTCCCCCTCCTGTTCCCCCCCCCCAGTGCCTTTTACCTTCGTCCTCAAGGTGGGATTCTGAGGACGCGGGGTGGTGTCACTCCTGGCTTTCTCCCCCCCAGAGGGTCACTGCAGCTTTCGCAGCCCTGCGAGGATGACATGCCAGCTGCCACCGTGGCGCTCGCTCGCCAGGGTCACGGCGTCGGCCCGCCCACAAGGGTCAGCCGCCCCGGGTGCTGGCCAAAACGAGGAGGAGGAGGAGGCGGAGGAGGAGGAGGACGGAGAGGGGCCGATCGGGACGTCTCGGGCCCGCCGGAAATCGCTCGATCGGATTGTGCCTGGCAGGACGTTTCTTGCTGTGCGGTGGCGCTTCATTTGGGTTTGAGCGACTGTGTTGACGAAGAGGAGGATGAGGATGACAAAGATGTTGATGCTGATGCGAATGTTGATGATATTAGCGTTGACGATGATGGCGGTGGCCATGGCGAGAACGATGACGACAGCGACGACGATAATTCATGACGAGTGGATGAAGAGGAGGAGAAGGAAGAGGACCCGAGTGAGCCTATGTGTCAGCGATGTTGCAACACACCCTCACGTCCTGAATCCTCACCCTTTGTACCAGCGATGCTGCAACACACCCTCCAGCAAGCAAGCAAACAAACAAACAAGTCCGCTCCTCATAAGTCCTTGCCGGCATTATGCTGCACTGCGCGAAGTACCCTAGTGCAAGAGAGAGCCTCGTGGGCTCGTCGTTCGTCCGAGAGGCCCATGTTGAACAGGAGCTGCTTGTAAGCACTCGATATATACGGGATGCGACAACCGACTAAAAGTGAAAGTGACCTTTCGCCGGAGTGACCTTTGGTGCGCGCCCAGTGAAGTCCCCCGATCGCTGAACGCGAAGCGGTAGCAGCGGCTTGCGCGCCCAGGTTTGGCCACCCCGCGTCCCCAGTTTAGGTTAGCCTCGCACCAAAGGTCACTCCTTGCCTAGGGTCACTCTTGCGTGCAGCCAGGACAAAGTGGGTGGCATGATATGAAATGCATCCAAGGACAGCCCCACTTCGAAAAGGAACCGCCCGCCCTCCGTGCAGCTGTTGCGCAGTCTTATGCTTCGAGAATGTTTTGTTCGGGGTTGCCCAGAACTTATTGATTGGCACCGCGCGTCGCTCCTCTTCCCTCCCTTTTCCCTCTCCCCCGCAGCCGCTGCGGCTCGGGTCTGTTTCCTTTTTTGCGGGAGGGCTACACCTGGTGCACTGTCTGCGGAGGAGGAGGAGGAGGAGGAAGAGGAGGAGGAGGGTGAGGAGTAAGAGCAGGAGGAGGGGGGAGGAGGAGGAGGAAGAGGAGGAGGGGGAGGAGCACGAGCAGGAGGAAAGAGGGAGGAGAAGCAGGAGGAGGAGGAGGAGCAGGAGGAGGAGGAGGAGGGGAAGGAGGAAAGGGAGGAGGAGAAGGAGAAAGAGCAGGAGGAGGAGGAACAGGAGGAAGGGCCTCCCCCCGAAGAACCGAAAAGAACGGGTAGCAGCCCAATCATGGTTTTTGATATCTTATTTTCTACCTCGCCACATGGCAAGCCAGCACATACTGTGCCAGCCCTTACTTTTTTGCTTAACATATGTTCGCTTCCTTTTTGTACCCACTCCTAGGGTCGCCTGTCATTTGTCCTACTATTCGCACTGCACGGCTCTTATTTAGCACGGCTTGCCTGGGTAGACTACAGGGGCTGTTGGGGACTTCTCTTATTTATGAGTTTATTATAATATTGGGGGTACGGGATTATTCCAGGCATTGCAGCCCTGAGGCTCGCTTGGGGCCGCCCGCCCTCACTCTTGCATTCTGAACGTGTAGATCGTCCTTCTCCGTTCGGGTCGTCATCGGATGGACTAAGGTTATGGATCGCTCGGCCTCTCCGCCCCGCGCACCTCCTGGTTGGCGCATGCTCCGCCTGTTCTTTTCCAGTACTTATTGCCTGCCCCAGTCTGCTTCGCCAGCCAGGCTCAATTTGTTTCGCGCTCCGATAGGTCGGCGTTTCTTCTTCTTGCACTTTCCAGGCATTCGCCTCATGTCTGCACGTCAAAAAACGGAGGAGGAGGAGGAGGAGGGGGAGGAGGAGGAGGAGGAGGAGGAGGAGGAGGGTCTGTACACAAGGTTGCGCTGCTGGCGGCGGGGCTCCTCGGCCGGGGGCTCGCAGACGAGGTTTGTTTGGATCGACTACACGTAAGGGTGACCCTTCGCTGGAGTTACCTTTGGTGCGTGCCCAGCGTGTAGTCGATTGGAACCTACCCTCCGCCCGAGCTGGGAGCTCGCGGGCGATGGGGCCCGAGATGCTCTGGGGAGCGAGCTCACCCAAGTCGCCAGAGCGTCTGATGCAGGAGGAGGAGGCGGAGGAGGAGGAGGAGGATGGGGATGGGGATGGGGATGGGAATGGGTATGATGATGATGATGATGATGATGATGATGATGATGATGATGATGATGATGATGATGATGATGATGATGATGATGATGATGATGTGGTGATGGTGATGGTGATGGTGATGGTGATGGTGATGGTGATGGTGATGGTGATGGTGATGGTGATGGTGATGGTTATGATGATGGTGATGGTGATGGTAACGGTGATCATGATGGTGATGATGATGATGATGATGATGATGATGATGGTGATAATGATGGGGATGGGGATGGGGATGGGGATGGGGATGGGATCGGGATGGGGATGATGATGATGATGATGATGGTGATTCTGACGATGGTGATGGTGATGGTGATGTTGATTATGCTGGTGATTATGATGGCGATGCTGATAGTGGTGATGATGCTGATGTTGATAATGATGATGGCAAGGATTGTGATGATGGTGATGATGATGGTACGGGTAATGATGATGGTGACGATGATGGTAAGGATGGTGAAGATGATGATGATGGTGGTGAGGCTGATGATCGTAATGATTTTTGATGATGATGCTGATGATGATGATCATGCTGATTATGATGATGATTATGATGATTACGATGCTGATTGCGATGGTAATGATGATGATAATGATGATGGTGATGATGATGATAATGGTGATGAAAATGATGGTGATGGTGATGGTGATGGTGATGGTGATGGTGATGGTGATGGTGATGGTGATGGTGATTTGGATGGTGATTTTGATTGTGATGATGCTAGTGGTAATGATAATGATGATGATGATGATGATGATGATTTTGATGATGATGATCTTGATGGCAAGGATTGTGATGATGGTGATGATGCTGATGATGGTACGGGTGGTGATGATGGTGATGATGATGATGATGGTAAGGATTGTGATGATGGTGATGATGATGATGGTGGTGATGCTGATGATGGTAATGATGGTGATGATGATTTTGAGGATGATTATGATGATTACGATGGTGATTGCGATGATGATGATGATGTTTATATGACGATGATGATCATGATGATGATGGTGATGATGATGGTGATGGTGATGCTGATGGTGACGGTGACGGCGATGGTGATTTTGATGGCGATTATGGTGGGTGATGATGATAGTGATGATGATGATGATGATGATGATCATGATCATGATGATGATGATGATGATGATGATGATGAGGATGATGAGGATGATGATGATGATTCTGATTATGATGATGATGGTAAGGACTGATGATGATGATGATGATGATGGTACGGTTGGTGATGATGGTGATGATGGTGGTAGTGATGGTGATGATGGTGATGATGATGATGGTGGTGATTCTGATAATGGTAATGATGGTGATGATCATGATGATTATCATGATGATGATTACGATGATGGATACGATGATGATGTTTATGATGATGGTGATGATGATGATCATGATGATGATGGTAATGATGATGGTGGTGATGGTCAATTTGGTGATGGTGGTGATGGTGGTGATTGTAAGGATAGTGATGATGCTGATGATGATGATGATGGTGTTGAGGAATATGATGGTAATGTTTGTGATGGTAACGATGATGCTGATGCTGATGCTGATGATGATGATGATGATGATGATGCGGCTGATGATGATGGTAAGGATGGTGATGATGGTGATGATGATGGTAAGGATGGTGATGATGGTAATGATGGTGGTGATGATGACAATGATGTTGATGCTGATGCTGCTGCTGATGATGATGATGAAGTTGATGATGATGACGATGATGATGATGGTGGTGATGATGATGATGATGGTAATGATGATGATGATAATGATGAGGATGATGATGATGATGATGATGAGGAGGAGGAGGAGGAGGAGGATGAGGATGAGGATGAGGATGATGGTAATGATGATGGTGATGATGGTGAATTTGGTGATGGTGGTGATGGTGATGATGATGAGGAGGAGGAGGAGGAAGAGGAGGAGGAGGAGGAGGGGGAAGAGGAGATGTCCCTCCTCGAGGTGTGGGCCAACCGCCAGCAGCCTCCAGGCCCGGAGGGCGAGGATGCTCAGCGACCGGGATCAGGGGGCGAAGCCCGCCGTGGATCCAGCGCGCCCCACCTGTCTGGTGGCGTGGTGGGGAGGGGCAGCCCCCCCCGAGTGAAGCCCAGGGCCTGGAGGAAGCTCCGGACCCAGCGCTGGCGACGATCGCCTCGATCTGTGCCTCGAGGCACAGTGGCGATACGACATGACTTGTCAATCCGCCGATGTGGTCTGTCAATCCGCGGCCCCAGAGGTCCCGAGTCCCTCGCCGGGGGTGGTTTCTCGTCCGGGATCCATGTTTGATGGTCCCCGGGCCCGAGAACGGGCCCTGGAGGCCGAAATCCAGGACAAACCGCTGGATTGAAAAAATCAGATCCTCGTATCTCTGGGGGCCCGGAGGAAGCTCAGGCCCCGCGCTGGCGACGATCGCCTCTGCGCCTCGTCCCGCGGGCGCCTCCAACCCAGGCATGCGACGTCTTGATTTTTGCCCATACGCGGTCCCCGGAAGTCCAGACCTTTTCCTTGAGAGTGGTTTCTCATCCTGACTCGCTTCTTGAACGGGCCCGAGGCCCAGCGAGAGCCCCCTGAGGCTGAAAATAAGGAGTTACCCTGCGACGTGCCCAACCCATCGGCACCAAAGGATGATATAAGGTGTGCCGACAATAGTGCGACAGCAACATTGCAAGGTGCACGGCGGATTTCTATATCGTGCGAAGTGTGCGTGGCCGACTCGCAGAACAGTGGTACAAAAGGCCAGGAGGCAAT